GGATCTAACATTATCACCTTTCTATTTACTTCAGATATTGTCATGTTGTAATTCAACAGAAACCAAGGCTAATTCGTGTCATTTTGCAGCTTGACAGCTGATATGCAAACCCTAGTACAGAAAATTAATATAATTTAATCTGCATCCATAACTGAACAATTATTATATAATCAAGACCTCCTAATATACCATTACGCCATGCGGTGGACTATAAATCAACAACATGACTAAACGTCGGCAGGCAGGCTATTACAATATTAATATTAAGATATCAATTTTTAAAAGAAATAATAACATCTAAGTTGTGTTAGACTATGTGAAACTATAAGTGAAAAAAAACAGTCTGCTCATATATACTGAATTAACCTGTCGGTCACACTATTGTATATTGTCATTATTGCCTTCAGCAATAGGTTTGGTAGATAGGATCAAAAGATGGGCCCAGTTCAAAAGTTCATAGCGCGAATGGAACAATAAAACGATTTACGTGTAAGTTCACGTTCTTTATAACTGTCACAAATTGATTCGGCAAATTTATAACTGTCTGGTTTAAAAGTTCATGGTAGATAAATGGCCTCACTTGCAACAAATGTAAGCAACATACGACTTTAAAGGTCATTCGCTTAAGAGACAAACCTTTTAGATCTCTCTGCTTTTTGGACTAGAAACAAGGGCATCCTTGAATTTTACACAAGGACAGGCGTGACTTTAAGCAAGGTCGTGCATGATTCCTAAAACTCAGAGTATAAAAAAGCAGAACCCCCTTGTGTATTTTAATTGTAAAGTCCAAAAGCAAGATAGATAGTCTGTTTATATTTTACAGGTAAGAATTTTCTGTTTTGTTACTCACCCTTAAAAGTTAAAGCTTTCTGTGGTAACCAGTCATCGTAATTTCGTTTTGAGTTCTCTTTTTAATTTACTATTATAATGTAACGGTATATGGTATTATTTTTTAAGATTTGATATTCATTTGTATTTATATGAATTTGCTACTAGCTTCATGCTAAACTTTACTTACGAATAAAAAAAAAATTCCTTAGTTAATAAACTATAATGTTCAATGATCTTTTCCAGGTCGTTATTCTAAATTAAATGAAAGAAAATACATTTCTTTATGGCATCAGTCGCAACTATTGAATTTTAGGCTCTCTGAGTACAAGTAATATCTAATCACTTGTATGGTATTCAATAAGGCAGAAAACTTTACAAGCTCATGAAGCTGTAGCTCATATGAAAATTATTTAATATGTATTGTAATATGTATTTTATGTATTTTTCAATATAAAGGTTTTTGTATGTTGTATCTTTAGAATGTAGTTTATATGTATATCAATAAAAGAATTGTAAAGTCCAAAAGCAAGAGAGATAGTCTGTTTGTATTTTGCAGCGATCCCACTTCTTCGCAGCCGAGCTTATCCCCACAAGATGCAACATAGGTGTGACCCTTATTCTTAAGAATGCCGAACTTTCTTCCTTCTCGTAACTAGACACGAGAAGAAGGTTATGTTAGAAATAACTACTGACAAGCTCAAATTTCCAACAGAGCAAGCAGAGTCTTGCATAACAACTAATTGAAAAAATTCTAGCATAATATTAATACCATCGATTCTCGGTCCAAAAAATTCACATCTTACTTATACAAATTGATTAGCGAGATTCACTTCATGTTTTAATTACAATATTTGCTAACTAACAATTTATTGGCAAAACATTTCCTGGTATAGTAATTTCTAGCCTACATGATTCACATTATATATAAAAAATACATTCAATAAAATCTCTCACGATTTGTATAAATGAAATAATGTATGAAATTCCTAGAATAAACAAGTCATATATCATTCAAGATACATGAATGTAAGCAAGTATTTTTCGAACGCAATCAATGAAAATTGGTAATTTTTGAACTAATCAAAAGAAAATTGATGTATGAATTTTAAAAAAGTAACTTGAAGCAAACAATTATAAACAAAGACCTTGTTCTTTTCGAGACTCTTTCCCTTCGACGTAGCAGAATCTCTATATACCTGAAAAAAATTTCTGTTCATCAAACTTCCGGACATCCATCCTTTAGACAATGTTAATTAGAAATTATTTCCTACTTATCTCGGAGTCAGAACCTTCATCTTCCACATAAAAAAATCATAGACTGACTCAATGTTCGAGGAAGAATACTTAAAACAATGTAAATTTCATCTGTGACACCTCTTTATTTACCAAGATGAATTACATGTATTTAACCACCGAAAATTAACACACACCTATCCAAGTTAGAGCAATTCCTCCTATTTCCGCGCTATCTTAATAAATCTGATTTCAGAAAGTCTCATCTCATGACACTTATTTAAACTGGTACAAAAATTGTCTCTATCATTTAAGCTTTATCTTTTTGTGATATTTAAATCCCAAAATCCACCTTGTCTAATCCTTCTATTTCACCGTTAACGACGGACTCTATTTGAAAAATCAATCTCGCTCCAAACCAGGGATATTAAGCATTTATTTTTGCTGTAGCGATCTAGCATTCACAGCTTTGTTCTATCAAGGAGTCTATAAATGAATGAATTTTTAATTCCGACAGCATGCTGTAACATGCCGAGGCAGATGGATAAAATAGGGAATATACTTTGGGCCACTCACGTCAACAATCTCTTACTACCCTACCCATTGGAATTGAAGCGCGTCTTTTGGGGTCAAGGTCTTTGGTAAATATACTGAAATCGGTTTGTCTGTCGCACTCGTGGCAGTTTAGTAATGAAAATTAACTACTTAACTTTTTTAATTACCAAAATCTTGTTTTGGGTGCGGAAAGCCCAAACCCACCCAATAAAATCAACGAATACAGTGACAATTTTAATCCGAACACTTTATATGTCCAAATCTACTTAAACATTTATGAACCAATCATATTAAGATATAAACTAAATAAAATACCCTCGAGTCTCTCTTATGCATACTAATTTTCTAATTGTAAATTATACATAGATGCTGAGCTATCACAAGAAGCACACAACAATTTAGAAACTTTGAAAAAAAATAGTAGCACAAAATATATTTTGATAAACTCAGCAGTGGTGTGAGAGTTAATATATTTTTTTCCACGTGCTGGACATAAAACAACAATATGGATAACTCGATACTCTATTATTTGTTTACATGTTTTGATTGGACACAAGAATTGTTAAACACATAATACCATCCGGGAGGATGAAAACGTTGATTTGTCGATGTCAACCTTTAACTAAAGATGTTTTGCAATAACTTAGAATATATATATATATATATATATATATATATATATATATATATATATATATATATATATATATATATATATATATATATATATATATATATATATATATATATATATATATATATATATGATAATCAATAATGATAATTTTGAAATAAGCATCAACGTGTTTTCAAGGTTAGATGATGAAAACAGTGGAGTTCGAGGAAGAAATGAATCACTGGTTTGATGTGGAAAAACTCTTTGCATTTGCATTCGATTAAATTTACAGTGCAACTTGGAGGTCTCGAGAAATATACAAGAATAATCTATAGCGATTTACCCCCCTCCAACTCCCCGACATAAAATCTATGCAGGGAATAGTTCAACCCTATCGGTAGCAGAATTTAACATAAATGTGGGGTCACTCATATGTGTAAATGAGTTGAAGTAGAGTTGCAAAACGCTGAAAATTAATGTTCCTGTTGTGACTCTATGTCCTGCTGGCTTGTTGATGACGATATGAAATAAATCGTGAAGCATAATTATTGTCTTTGTTTTAAATGACCGACGTCTGAGACAACGAAGCCTCACCTTTGAAGGGGTTATTAAAACAAGAACAGTATTGAAGAGATTTTTGCAATGTTTCTAAATGTCCTTTTTGCTTCACAAATATCACTCATTTTTGGTAACAAATTAAACAGAACACGAAAAAATCTACTGAATTGAAAGAATGAAAAAGTGTGGATAAATAGCAGTAAGAATCAGGTTTTGAAAAATGAACGGCTATTGCGTGTGATAGTTGTGTGAAAAAGAACAGTGCATTAGAAAAGAAAGGCGATAAAGCATGCACAACTCAAGAATTCACAAAAAATAAAAAACACGTATAGAAACACTATAGCTTCAGTACAAAATGATGCACGAGATCTTGAATGACATATGGAGTGATAAAACTCACATGGACATTGATACAGACATAACGTCATTTAAATTTTGTCAGCCAGATTCCGATTGGATGGTTGAAGCTCCAGCCACAAACCTATTCAATCATTGATGAAAAAAAATCTGCTACGTTGGAAATAAGAAGAACTTGTTAATGTGTAAAATGCTTAGTGTATAAGACCGTAATGAGAATATTTTTCTCATTGCTCTCTTTTAAACAAGGTTCTATTAGTCTTGTACAACTTTTTGTTGACCCTCGAATCATATGTACTATCGGATTTGTCTGAATGAAACACGTACACCATTTTTACTATCTGTATACAGGCTTCTTGCATATTTACGTACAAAGTCGAACACTTCTTTATAACCAGAGTTTCAAAATGGTTCGTCCAATTTAATTTGTTTTTGTTCTTTTTCAAACATTGTACAAACATGTACGTCATCACCAGCAAGACTTACAGCATTTTATATTATCTTTGTCTTGTAACAGCATCATGATATTCATATAAATGTTCTTCAAATTCTTTCATTTCAAAATCTCCACCAACCTCATCTTTTTTCATTTTTTTTTTAAAAGTGAAGAATTTGACAAGGAGTGTGTGTGTGTGTGATTATGATTTTTAACGTAGCTTTAACAATTTTTCAGTCCTATCGCTACGATGTCTGCAGTGTGGCAGTTTATAGTGATAACTAGCACTGGGGCATCATGCCGCAGACATGTAGCATGATGTCCCACCCAATCACATTATCCTAACACCAGGCCGACCAGTCCTAACACTAACCTCTTAATGCTGAGCGTCAAGCGAGGCAGCTGTTAGTACCATTTTTGTAAGTCTTTGGTATGATCGAACCCACGACATCCCGCATCTGAGGCGGACGTTCTAACCACTAGGCCACCCAAGAGGTTTGACAAGGAGTGAAAAGGCACACAAGCAGATCACAATGCAACTTTGAAAAATGAATTGTATTATATCAAAGAAAATCATTTTAATAAGAATTGAAAATATGTAATGCAGATGGATTACGTAAAGTGATAACTTATAAAAATGTAAATGTAAATAATGGAAAAGAATGAAAAAAAAAAGAATTAAGAAGACGTACGGAATGTATATAAATTCTTGAACTGCTAGAATATTTAATTAATTTTTGGATGTTGTAATTTAAACTGTAACACCAATGATTAACAATATTCTTCCCTTGGATAACTTGAAAAGTTTACAAAATGAACCGAAATAAAACTTCCTGATGTTGAACCGAATTAGATTCTTCATCATAATTGTTTTTCTTAATGTAAGACACTTTTGTGTACATCTGTTTTGAATACAGTTTTGATAAAAAAAACCATGCTAATATGAAGGAGTCAACGTAAAATAAAAGTACAGAGAGAATAAAGTATGTAATAAATAAATGTGTACCGGTTGCATAGTTATTCATGCATTTGTGACTTTAATCCCAATTATTGTCAAGAGGTTTTTTAAAGGGTATTTTGACAAAAGAAATCAAACAATAATAATAATATAATCCATCCTGATCGAATCATTCTGTTGCTCTTCTGTTTCCTTGATGGCATTTTCGCATTTTTAGGCTCATTGTTACTGTGATAGATCTTGCATATATCTATTATACACATCTCTCTGCTGTTTTTAGTCAGATAAATGAAATTCTGAACATGGAATAACGTGACGTATGTCTAAATAATCTTCATTGACACCTACCAGCTTGGCAAAGTTTTTACAAAACTTATTAGATGGTACGTCAGGTATCTTTATCTGAAGTGTTTTACCTAAATGAATTTAGAACTCTAATTCAAGTATTACTAATAAATCAGAAATTTTCATCACTTTAAATCATTTACTTTTTAATGTTAATATTATAGTGTTTCTAGTATAAAACCGGTCAACAATAAAATCCTTTCTTAACGTTATACATTTCTCGTCGTTGTTTGACCTGGTGTTGTGCTTGCAGTATAATTATTTTATTAAATTGATAATAATGATTGCAATGTAGCAGTGAACACAGACGGTAGTTACATTCATTTTGCTTTCCATTTATTGTCCAAAACAAAACAAAATAACCCCCGCCTCCCAAAATAACAAGAAAAAAAATCCCCAACAAAACAAAGCACCCTCACCAACATATGCAGCATGAAGATTTGCGGTCGTAATAAATCACTATTACTCCTTAAGCAAAACAATTTTACATTAAAATCCTATCTTTAAAAAAGTCTAATGAAATAAATAAATTTTGACCATTTACACATAGATGAGTCATTTATTAAATTTTGTGTTGGCTGTGTTTTAGTCTGTCAAGCTGCTAATCAATGCACAATTAAGATCTTAGCAAATGGTCAAGAGACTCAATGTTGACCTTTCAAAAACATGAGCAACCCACGATCATTTCAGTGTTGTGTAAATATTGGAGAGTGCTGGAATTATAATTTAACTCATTGATATATTACGCGGGCTTAACCTAAGCAAAAGGATTTTTCTTTTTTCTTTTTTTTAGTGGTCCAGTACTATTCTTTACTAAACTAATTTTTTAGTCACTTACTATCTACTGAACTCTTTGGATATTTTGAGAAAAATTCGAATGAATTTGTATCACGATTCGTGTCCTACAAAAGTATGTATATCGGATAATCATATTAGAACTTATCCACATTTTAATTACCAATTGTGTCCGTGTGCCTCATTCTTGTCCTGTTAACGTCTCCAGAAATCTTTCATATATTTTCATCAAATCTTAGCATGCATTTGTATCGTAAAAGTGTTTGTGTTCCATAGAAGATTCGGCCATATCCGATTAGTATTTTACGAGTTATCTGCCCCGTAATTACAAAACTATTTATATATTTTGTGTGTACGTACTTGCGTGTATGTAATTTGGTAATTCAAGGGGTTGGGACATGAAATACTGCTTCTTCAAAACTTGAACTGATATCAAAATATTTCAGAATTTGGGATCAGAAAAAAATCACATTTATGAAATGTAGTTTAAAAAAAATAATTTAGAAATCAATTTGTCAAATTTAGGTGTGTATTAGCTTGATTAAACTGGGCTAGTCATGCTTTGGCTACAGACTTAAATACAAATAATGCTGAAAAGAGAAAAATGTATTGTGGTATTGAGGCCTGGATGGTGTTTATAAAGTTGAAGGCCAATTCCATTTTTATTTGCAGTAGAATGTTTTAAAATTTCAGGTAAAATTTCAACAACTTGTTATATTGTATAACTAATGAACATGAATTTCTAAACTATTTATAGAACATTGAACTTATGGATGATTGAGCCACCTATTCTTATCATTTCTTTGATATAAATATAACTTTAAAGACTGTGTTTATATTTGGACACTGATTCTGATGTAATAATTTTGAGCTAAGTCCAGATGATCTTTAGTTTCGAGAATATTTTGAAAAGTTAATAAAATCATAGATTGAGTGAACAACAGAAAGGTAAAAAAAGTCATGATATTATATTTGGAATTTCAATACAAAAAGCATACAAATTGTTCTTTGGCAGCATATTAGTAATTCAGTATGCATATACCAATTAGATGTCAATAAGGACCACCTTTATCGAAGGCTGGATTTTGTCACTAAAACCCATTTGATTTTGGTCACTACACTATAAGAAACCAGATGATGGCCAATCTCAACTATCTGACATGCTTTCCTTGGGGCCAAAATGAACGTGTAAAGATACGATTTAATTAAGAAAGGAAGATTTCATTGCTTGCCAAAGAACCTTATTTTTGTAGATTTAAACAAACACACGAGCTTAGAAGTATATCCGTAAAATCATCGTAAAATTCCCCGGTGACGAGAGAAAAGTCATGAAAGCCTTGGAGCTGTGAAAATATTATGAAAAGCAGTCAAAACATTCATTCGCTGACAACTCTAGTGTTGATCGCATAGTGTAATAAATAGGTTACTTCTCTTGCCCTACAACATGCGATATATAGCTACCGGTTACTGAAACTATGGATCACACTATGACTGCAACACATATTTCATTGCTTTCGGTCCTTTTGAGTTTGCGAACTATTAATCGACTGAAACAAAATATTTACATTAAAAGAATGAGAGACACTTTGAGATGACTGGATGAATTTAGCAGGAAATATCAAATATTAGCATATTACAAAGATTTTCAAGACCAACGGTAACCTTAAATGTCAACAACTCTGTTATAAGTTAATACTCAAGATAGATGGAATTATAAGATATAAACTTAAAAAAGCAAGGGTAAAGTAGCACCTAACATGAAATCTAATTAATGTTAAATATTCGTCCACCATTTTTACCTTCTAAAATGGGTTACGTCATGGTAATGGACGCTGGGGAGAAATGGAACCAGTGTTACAAGTGGCGGACCAATTGACTTAGCTAAATAAAGGGTTTGTGTTTCCTAGAAGAAATTAAAGGATTCAAGTAATTGCCCCCACGACAGTAATTAGTCTAAGTTTCTGTAGTAGGCGATTCTATCATGACATTTGCGTTATCGGTATCACAAAACGGCTATTATATTTCTTATAAATGTTTTAATTCTATTTTTAAGAGAAAGTGTACCCTTCAAATCCCATGTTCAAATTTATTTTATAAAATGCAATTGACTAGTTTTTATATTTTATATACGCGGGTTCATGTATATCTCTGCTCAGATTTCTGCTATTCCCTCCATTAATTTAATTATTTTTTATTTACTCGGCCCTGGCAATAACAATGTGGTCGATCATTTCCTAGATAAGCGCCACGTAACAAGTGCGGTTCCTATATATATATATATATATATATATATATATATATATATATATATATATATATATATATATATATATATATATATATATATATATATAAGCATGTGTGTGGGTGGGGGAAACAAAGATTCACAATATCTGCTAATTCAGTCGAAGTCCTCTGCGCAAGAAGGGTCTGGAGACTAGTGGGTGGGTGTATTTCAAACAGACGAAACTGTTTCCAGATGTAACCCGGTAAATAAATACTATCTTACATGAGATAATTTTTAATTCTGCATGATAGTATTAATAACGATTCTCCTGTAAAATCCAAGGATAGCAGTTTCCATTCTTTTTGGTGTATATTTCTCTCTCTGTCTGTCTGTCTCTCTCTCAAATATGTAATTCTCTCTGTATATATTGTATACACGCGTGATCAGAAATATATTTTCATCTGTTCAGATCTGCATCTATCGATAAGTATTAGTTATATGGATAATCTCTACTCTAGCATTGGGCACTAGTCTGCCTTTTGTTATCTTGTCTTCACGTTTTGAAGGTAAACAATATTTCTACTTCTTGATGAAGGTATAACCTAGTCTGCGTTTTCTCTTTACTTCTCTTTCTCTCCATCAAACTGTATACGGTTACAGAAATTAGAGGCACGTGATTAAAAATGTGTGTGCGATTAGCAATTACATTGGCTGGTATTTGGCATGTTTCAGACTGTTGTTATTTTCAGGTTCATGTGAGTACGTTAAAGACAATCCGTGTATTGGTTTAATTTCTTAACGTGAATTACCGAGGATACATAGCTATACCCTTACTACAGTGACAATAAAGAGGATCAAAATATTTAAATGTGTGATTTGCGACATTAAACCAATCAGTTCTAAGTTTTTACGTTTCGAGCACAGAATATTTGACCCAATACTACAATCAAAGTGACCATAACATGCACCATGACATTTTAAAATATAGACTGATTTACTCAATCAGTGTCGAGCGAGCGCCTCCCCAAAACACACACACACGCACGCACACACACTGAGGCACAAACACACACAAACATTGCAAACACATACATACATACATACATACATACATACATACATACATACATACATACATACATACATACATACATACATACATACATACA